GCGATAAGGGAATCAGCAGAGTCAAGTTAGGTTGACATGCCAATTGAAAATCCAGACTTTAGGGGCCTGCTCGCTGAGGTTGGTGTATACGTGCTATCAAAGGCTTTGGGCAGAGTGTGGAACAACGCCTTGAAAGTAGCACGGATACCGCGACAGCGATGGAATGAACCCACAGATAAGGGAATGATCCTACGGATCAAGAGGGAACTCTTATAGGACTTGAATAGAGAGAATTGCGGATTAAACCACAGCCTTGGATCAACACTCCTGACACCGTGGGAGAGATGAGAAAACTGATTTAGCTAAACAAGTAAGAAATTGTGATATTAAAGGAGTGATACGAGAATATGGTTATGTGAATAGCTCAGGACAGAAGGAGAGATGCCACACTTTTTGGCACACATTTGGTTATAGGATCGACTTCACTTGTCTCTGACGAGTTGTATTGTGCTGCTAAGAATGACAAAACTCAGTGCCGATGCCTACTACGATGCCGGCAAAACGTCTAGGAATGTACAAGGTCCATAGTCCGACTTTGGATATGAGCATGCATATTTTGAGCTGCGGTCAAGTTTCTTTCCTCTAGGTCTTCTGCAAATATGACTAAGTTGCAAAAACAAGGTCACACTACTTTTAATTGCTTAAATTTGAAGTATATTCACAACATAAATACTTATCTGATTTCATTATTTGAATTCATAGAAGTTAGTTTGTATCATGGATTTATACTTATCCATTTATATTAAAGCATTTGAAATCGAATTCATTGAATATAAATCGAATGTAAAAAGTAAATAGAAAATGATGCTATGAGGGACTTTTGGATGCCAAATGCAATTGAAGTGGAATCTCCAGAGAAAAAGCATTCTCTTGGTAAGAATATTTGAGGTTTTCTTGAACAGTAATTTGATTAAAATCTTATAAGCATGCCAAATCGCTTTGCAAAAATTAATCCAAAAAAGATCATTTATCTATTAATTTTAAATAAAGACTCTATGGGAAAATACAAATTCAGGTACCTAGATATACTCCTTAATATACTTTGTTTAAGGGAACACAAATCGCATGTATAATAATTTTATACGAATTCTTTCACTGATAAATTGCACTAAATAAGAATGCCTTAGATATTCCTTAGTGCAATTTGACTAAAATGTTTAAAAGCAGTTTTAAAGTAATATCATATCAGTGAATTTATCCTTGTATGAATCTAATTAAGCAAAATCTTCTGAATCATAAACATCATTATTATAACCATTTATAATTTATCTATCTTAAAACATGGCATACTTTAAAAGCATTATATATATTTATTTAGCCTTGTAGGTAAATTAAAGTAAGCAAATATGCTATGCTCTATTTTAGGGAGGAGTGCAGCATCGTATTAGAATATAACGAATAGCTAACCGTTTAGTAGCTCAAAAGGCTCAATAATTAGAAGCTTTATCATTCACCGTAAACATTCGAGACTGATAAATACGGTATATTTT